GCTGGTTGGGAGCCATTTTAAATCATGGGATGCCCCCCCTGTTTGGTGCCAAGCTACCCCTTGGATGTCTCCATGGGCCCTTAACGGTTGATTTTTACTGTTTCACTGCATTGTATGTATCTGATATGGCTGCCCATCCAACACAGGTTCTTATTAGAGGCTATGGCTCTCGCCTGGGGGGGGGGAAGATGGCAGTAAACCCCCCCCATTTCTCTCTCTTAAACCAGGGGTCTCCAACTTGTGTGCTGCAGCCCACTACCGGGCCGTGGCCTTTTTGCAACTGTCCGTGTGAGTCTCACACGAGCATCACGGGCACTCAGGGCCCTACTCGTACAAACAACAGGTGCACAAACAACGCGTGCAGAACCACCCCCTTCCCCCTCCCCCTCCCAGTCCAGGATGCCAACCCAGACTCCTCATCCACACTCACTGTGCAGCCGTGTCAATCACCCGCTCCCAGAGACTCCTTGCTTTTAAGAAATCTATCAAGGACCCGTATTAACTAGCTTCAGTAGGCAAAGTAAAGGAAGCTCTCCCTAACCTTAGCCCTCTCCTCACCCCTCCTGGGAAGCCACTTTGGGAGAGCAGTGAAGGCTGGTCTAGAGGCCACCCAAGGAGGCCGAGATGAGTCAGCGAGAAAGTCTCTGCTCTCTTGGAAGCATCCGATCCTCCTCCTCCTCCTCCTCCTCCTCCTTCAAGACTTGCCCGTTTTCCTTCCTTCTTTTCAGGGGCAATTAGGAATGAAACGTCCCTTTTCACCTACGACACCCAGGACCTCCGGGACACCTTCGTCTCTGGACCGAAGCACCACTCGTCTTTCGTCCCCCTCTTCTCTCCTCCCCAAGACGTCAACCAGACCCTCACGCAGCAGGTGGCTTCCGTCTGCCAAGCCGACCCCTTCTGCCGGTTCGACATCCTGACCACCGGAGACGTTGCCCTGGGAAACGCCACTCGGTCGTCCCACCAGCGCTTCAGAAAACTCCAGGAGAGCTTAGAGCCAGGTAAACCCACCCTGTCCCCCGAAATCCTCAGCAGCACAGAGGCTTCACCTCCAAGTCTGCTGCCTGTGGCATTTTACCTCCGGCACGGAGCGGTCATCCAAAGGACAGAACCGGCAACCCCCAAGGACGTTCTGGTCACTCTGCCCGTCCAGCCTTCAGCTCTGTCCCATAGCCATAAGGGAGGTTTCCTGCAGCCACCAAGGGCCTCCGAGTCACCCCGGCTGTGTGGGGACACTAACTCGGGTCCTGGCAGCCCCCAGTCGGTTGAAGTCACTTTATTAAACCGGGATGAATGGACATGAGTGGCCTCCCCGATGTCTCGGAGGGTGGGGGGGGCTGAAGTAACCAGAGGGGAATTATAAGCAGCCATAGCAGGTGAGGCTGTGGGTGGTCGTTGGGGGCAGATTTTAGCAGATGCCAAGATCTTCTGCAGACAAGGAACAGCCAACCTGCCCAGATGCCAGGTGTGGCCTTGCGAAGGGCACCAGTGACTCCAACACACACACACACACACACACACACACACACACACACACCACCACTATGTGCGCTCTAGAGGAGAAAGGAAGAAAAGGGTAGGGGTCCGGCTACGTGGCCCGGCTCAGCACTGCCACTCGGTCACTCCTGAAACAGCCCCATTAGAGCCCCATTCAGTCGACCCACAGCGGCTCCCTTTGTGGGGGGGGGGAGGCTTTTATCTCTAGGCTTTGTATCTGCAGCATGCCTGGCCCATTGGAGGGGCCCCATCAAAAACCCTCCTGGTGTGTTCCCCCCCCTACAGTGGTTTCGTGCGGCTGGCTGGCTCCCCCCTCCAATGGGGAGAAGAAAGGGACCACGTACCTAGCGGGGTCTCTGCTCCACTTCCGCTGCCATCCCGGCTACAGCCTGGTGGGCTCGGTAACCAGGAGATGCCAGGAGGATGGGACCTGGTCGGGAACCCCCAGCAGCTGCGTCCCCAATGCAGGTAGGGCCATTAAACCTCCCCAGCCCCTCCCCACCGCCCCCTAAGACAGAGTCAGCGCCACGGATCTGGGCTTGCATGCTCAATGAAGGGGAGGGGGGGGCAGGGACAACCCGGGGGGGGGAGGGGGGGTCGTGCTGGGAAAAGGGGCTGCGCAACTAAGAGAAGCTGCTAGCAGCCCTCCGGGTGTCATCTCCCCCGTCTGGCCTGACAGGGAAAGGAGCCCCATTGTGACCTTATAACGCAACCTCCCCTCCTTGGCTGGACCTCTTGCAATGGGAAGACGGGGGCCAACACAACCCTCCTTCCAAGGCCCCGGCTTCCTCTGCGAGACAATTGGGGAGGGGGGTGAGGGGAAGCAAGGCAGGCAGGGGGGGTCGGGGGGGGAGGGGCAGAAGGGATTCCAGGAGTTCCCAAAGACTCACA